CTTTTCAATCAAAATCGCTTCCAAACTGGACAGGAATTACTTCAGTTACTAAATGAAGATCCATCCCAGTCTTTTAGTGAGAAAAAATTGCGAATGGAGCTGCATGCAATGAACATATGGAGTCGAACATCTCGTAAGAGGTCATTGCTCGCACTTGCACATAAAGCTGCGCGACTTCAGTGGGCTAGAAGTCACCGAACATGGGCAGTTGCTGACTGGCGGAATGTAATATGGTCTGAAGAATCACGTTTTTGCATTTATTCAAAAGAAGCACGTCTGCAAGTGCAACGCAGACCAGATGAAGCATTTCATCCTGACTGTGTGCAAGCATAGGTTCAAGCCGGAGGTGGGTCTGTCATGACTTGGGGTGTTTTTCTTATTATGGATTGGGCTCCTAACTGAGGGGGCCACTAACATGATCCAACATATTTATTTGAAAGTTCTGGACAATTAGGAGTTGCCTTACAGTCATCCTCTTCATGTAAAGTGCGTTGTTGATACCCCTATTTTTCAAGATGACAACAGCAAAGTTCATGGGGAAGGAAGTATATGTGACTGGTTTTATGAACACTCAATTACATCTCAGCTGGCCAGCAAAATCACCTGACTTAAACCCCATTGAAAATTTGAGCGACATGTTGGAACAATGGGTAAAACACCAAAATCAGCATTCTCACAATTTGGTGAATTTACGCGATCAAATCCTCAACGAGGGTCTTAAACTGGATTTGACGTACTTGCAAAACCTTGTGGGCTCACTTCTTAACCGAATCCAGACGGTCATCAAATCTAAAGACGGTGTTACACGTTATTAAATGATCTTTTTCATGATTTCTCTAAGGGTGACTAATTTTTTGTCCGGTGAGCTTATAATGGATATAATGAATGTTTAAAATTTCTCTAAAATTCATATAGAGTTTTTCTAAATATTCTAATACATAGAGTATTTAGAAAACTGATGAATATATGAATTTTATAGTTTTATATAATATTTCTATATGATTAGAAATATTATAGTTTTATATAACATTTCTAATCATATTGAGTTTCTCTAAAACTCATATAATAATTGGAAATGAATATAATGAACGCTTAAAATAATGAATGTTAAAATGATGGTTATGTTAAAAAATGGATATAATGAATTTTTTAAAATTTCTCTATAACTCATATTACAGAAGGGAACCGATTATCCGGAACGATCGGGACCATCGCTATTCCGGATAACTGATTTTTCCGAATTTCTACAAAGAGCCGTTTTTTTTATTGTTAAACCCAACTAAAAAAATACATTTTTTTGGAAATAATCTTGAAAAGAAGAAAAAACGACGGAGTAATACACAATGATTATTTCAAAAATGATGGTATAGTAAACATCTTTCAAAAATGAAAGAAAAACCTAAAATCTTATGAGGAAATTTTTTTTTTCTTCTTTAAAATGGCGGGAAAATTTATTGAATTTCGTTCCGGTTTTCTGATTTCCGGATAACGGGTTCTGTACTGTACTAGCAAATAATTAGAAATGGATATAATGAACGAATATAATAAAAACCTTATTGTGAAACTAGTTGCATCAAGGAAAATTCAAGTAAATTTTTTAAATCCAGATTTCAGCTGGATAATTTAGTTTGATTTTTTGTCTAAATCAAAATGAATTTTAAAACTTTTGTAAATTTGTATAGCTTCATAATTCTCGTTTTTTACGTCATTCCAGTTAGTAACAGACTTGATATGTAACGGGAGTTCGATATTAACAACTACTGAGCACAACATATTAAACTACTGAGCACAAACCTAACAAGATTCTATTTCTAGCTGTCTCAATACTTAAGAGGAGGCCATACCGCAAAGAAAACTTTCCTCTCAAAGTCTCTTTCTCCTTCATTACTAATTTAAATAATAATAAAAGTGAGTTCAGACAAACGTATAGCAAGTCATGAAGTCTCAATTGCTGAAGAAAATACTTCAAATTATTAAAATGCAAGCAAATAATTAGAAGAGAACTTCTCTGTTGTGTAATCCTATATTATCATCTCATAATTAATTTACATTTGTATATTTTAAAATTTTCTTTTCAGTATTTGAAACTTCCTGGCTTACTCAAGGTTTGTCTGAACTCACTTTTTCGACACTTTAAATTAGTAATGAAAGAGAAAAAGAATTAGCAACAAAAATTTTCTTCTGTGGTATGGCGTCCTCGTAATGTTTGATATGGATTTTATTAAGTATGGTGTTTTATAACATTATGACCTTACAAGAAAATAAGAATTGTCAAAGTCTTCATTTTTTATCTTTGCATAATAAATAAAAAATTTAAATACAAAAGAAAAAAAATTCACTTTATTTCATTATTCTCAATTGAGAATAAAAAAATTGAAGGCACTTTTTTCCACTTTGATGCATGAGAAAAGTAACTGTTGAATATAAATCTAAAGAAAAGATGAATTTCTTTTGAAAATTTCAGCAGAAAAGAAAACCAAAATCTTTTACGTCCCAAAGAAAAAAATCTTTCAACAAGAAATCTGTGACAATGTTGCTACAGGGAAGCTTAACACAAAAATTTGTCTCCACATTATTTAACTTGCCATCAATAATCTTTCTTTAAAAAGCTTAAATTGCACATTACCTATATAATCAAAGTGGTATTTAAAATACCATTCTTAAAAGTATGTAATTACAGGATGTTTTCTAGTAAAATAATAAGCAAATTCAATATTAGTAAAAGATATGACAAACAATTGTTTGACATAGAAAAATTGCCTAAAAGAATTATTTTCAATTTCAAAATGTAAATTAACTCTTTATTTATTTGCTTCTTTAAATTCTCAAATTGCTCATAATTTTGATACTGACAAATGCAAAATTTAGGCCAGTTAGTTGTCTAACCAATTTATATCTAGATGAACAATGTAGGCAATTCATTATAAAAAAGAGTAGTAATTTTAAAAATATTATAATGTATATCTCAAATAAATTAAATTCATAACATATCAAAGTTGTCTTAAATACCATTATTGTAGAAACGATACACCAACTAAACAAAACATATTTTCCTTATTTCAAGTATTTTTTGTTACCTTTACTAACAAAATATATTTTTTCTGTTATTTGCAAACTATTATTTGTAAGATCATTTTATAAACTTGACATGCTATCAATATTTAATAATTTGATACATAGTTGTTAACGAACTTCTATGTAGTAGTTAGAAGAAAATATATGCAAATACATAACTTATGAGCAATATAAAATTGATTTTTTTAGGTATATATCTAATGATTGTATAAAAGAAAAAGTATTATGAATACCAATCAGTCTCAAATTTATTTATATCTTTGAATGTTATTAGTAGAGTTTAATTTCTTTTGATAATTGCAGTAATAATTAAAGTAAGTTAAATGCTGAAATTAGTTTTGAAAGCAAAGTTTTTCATTTTAATGAAAAAATTCTACAAATTTTCTGAACAAATTATTACTTTCATTTTTAACTAAAAAATAATTAAATTTTAATCATATGCTAATAGAAATCTAACAGCATATCTCAGACTTTAAAAAGATGTGTGTTAAGACAAAGTCGGTAAAGTTTGAAATTGTAACAATCTGTTTCTGTGGGTGATGTTAAGATTTAGGCATGCAATGCATTGTCACGCTAACATCGAGATATTTTGATGCATTCCGATGCTTTGGTATGANTAGTTATTGTAATTATCCAATTCTCCAATAAATTTTGTGCGTACTATATAATGCATATTTATTTTCAAAATTGATTTCGAAAATTTTATATATCTGTAGTTTTTCAGAAAAACATGCTAGGTTAATTTTAAAGAAAAAAATTGACATCAAATTTTTTTAATTTATTTTCCTTAAAAATTTTTCAAAATTAGTTGGAGTATGTAATTGCAAATCAATTAATTAATTTATAATTATTAATTAATTTGCTAATTAATTTAACAATTAGCAAATTAATTATTTAAACAATTAATTACAAATTAATTGGAGTATGAGACAATTACAGTGACTAATAGTCTGCATTGAAGTAATAAAATATCGATTTTTCTATATATAGAATAATTTTTATCTCTCACAGGACCTTCTTTGGGCCGAAACGAATGTTGCCCCCCAAAATTATTCCTCATAAGGCAGACATCCCACTAGTTTATTTCAAAATTGGCGAGTCACACTTCCCTAGTTTCCCTTGTTAGAGAAGTGGATGTCTGCAGAATAGTGGTTAAAAAACATTAAAAGGTTGGATTATAAAAAAACCAACAGGATTTACACACACAAATTAAAAGAAAACTCTTCCATAACTAAGAAATTCAACAACACTTTGATTCTCAATTACATTCAGATTCATCATGTCAGCAAAACAATGATTTGCGATGTAAAAAAGATGGGGAAAGATAACAATCCTCGCCACAGCTTTTACTGCACACTTACGGAGGAAAATACTCTTTGCACGAGCTTGCAGATATCGATGTACTATTAGGAAGACTGTTCAACATCACGAGAGTAGATGTCAATGACACATCGGGAAACACGGTGCACATCTCAGTAAATTACAATTTCTGATACTTCCAAAAATGGCAATTCAAACATCAGATCAGCGATGATCGCATAAAATCAATATTTTCCGATGCATCGATCTATCTCTCAGCCCTACTGTTTACTTAGGGAGATTTTCTCAATAAAAACATTAAAACAAATATTTATTTCAAGTTATAGCATGACATCATAATGCATACTTTATGGATGAACATTATAAATTTTTATATTTAATTAAAATTGATAAATAAATCTAAAGAAACAAGTTTGCATCTTTAGTGAGAGATTGAATCAAATGAAAAGTAAATGTACCATGATCATCAATGTCCTATAATTCTATTGTCCATATCTTAGACTTTAAAAAGATGAGTGTTATGAAAAGTTGGTAAAGTTTGAAATTTTAACAATTCTGTTTACTTCAGGTGAAATTCTTATTTTGTCAATGTAAGCATTTAAGAATGAAAACAATAACACAAATATTTATTTCAAGTAATAGCAAGACATCATAATGCATACTTTACCAGCAATGTATGAGATATGAATGACCATTATAAATTTTTATAAGTAAATAACATTGATAAAAAAATTCAACAAAACAAGTTTGTATATTTCGTGAGAGAATGAATCAAATGATGACTAAATACATGTAAAGTTACATGATCATAAATGTCCTATATTTCCAATACTATAGACAGAACTTAAAACTTTTCCTCGATGACTGAAAGTATAAAATGATGGTCTGTTTCCTGCTGATTCAAAAGACCTAAATTGGAATAAATAATTAAATAGAAGCATTTTGAAAAATATGTAAAAAAATTACAACTGTTAAGCATCAGAAATAAAAAAGAGACAGTAATTGAGCAATCTAAATACTACAGCAAAATACTTCACATTCAATTTAATAATTAAATACCAAACGCCTTGAGCATACACTCCATCAGAAAAAAACTATGAATGCAACATGCTTCAAAACAATGAAGATATCACTTAGTTTATAATTTAAATATAAAGGGATAAAAGTTTTACAAATTAAACTACAGCTAATAATTTCAGTAAGAAACTCAAGCTAATAGGGTATAATATGAAAAAAAGCACAAAAACTTAAATTATTCTCCCTAAAAACGTGATTCTAATCATAAAATCCGCTTACTTCTACTGGGAACAGGGCTGGATTACCCATTAGGCCAGACTAGGCCATGGCCTAGTGCCACCTTAAAATGGATTTTTTGAAAAAAAATTTAAAAAAAATTAAGAAAAACAATGATTTTTCAAAATTTTATGATTATTTTTTAGTTCTAATTTAATAAAATAAAGTAAAATTTATTTTATTATTTATTTTAATTTTAAATATGCTTTCTTAAATGAAAAGATATATAAATACTTTTATATTTGAATAAATGAAAAATATGTGAGAAAAAAATTTAATCTAAGGACCCAAAAAATTTGAAGGGCCTAGGGCCCCGCGTAGGCTTAATCTGGCCTTGACTGGGAACAACACCGTGGAAAAGTGAGGCGTGTCAGGTCATCCAATTTTAGATTTCTTTCAACAGAGCGCTTATTATTTCGACATTCAGGCCCCTATGGCAGAGCTTTTACAGGCTTTCTGCGACATTCCTCTCCACTACTAATATCTTTCTGCTACATACTTTTAATAACAAATACACATGTTACTAATTTAAAGTAACAAAAGCATCAAATTTAAAAAAAAATTCTTGTGAATAAAATAGAATAATTTTTTTAATTGAATATGTAAAATTTTTCTATTCTAATATTATATGCGATGTTCTCACATTTTGTAGGGAGAAAATACACTAATTATTTCTTTTTTCCTATTTTGTTTATCTTCATCACATTGAAAAAAAAGAATTAAAAATAATCATGAAATCAATAGCTGTAATTACCGAAAGTAGATCAAAGGCGAAATCACGCGAATAGGAATCCACAAAAAGAAGCTACTAAATGTGTGTTTTCATTTTGATATTCAGTTGTTGTAATAAATAATATCGCATTAAAAATATAGGATTTTAAAAACTATGCGGCATCACTAAAACTAGTAATTATTGCATAAAAAAATTTAACGAAAATTTCTGCGCAGAAAACCAAATTTTTTACATCTTTATTCTTTATTATTCTCAAATGAGAATAGAAAAATCATAAGCATTTTTTCCTCGCTCCGATGCCCAAGAAAGGTATCTTTTGAAAATAATTATGAAGAAATGAGAAAATCTTAGAAAAATTTCTGCCCAAAAGAAAATAAATTTTTTTTACAGGGTGGCCACTCAAATCAGATTTCAAATTTCCCTGATATTTCCAGGTAAAAATCTTGAAATTTCCAGGTCCGTTTTTTTTCTTCTTTTTCTTATACATGTGTACTAGAAAAGTGTCTATATTATAAAATATTTTATTCAAAAAGTCATTTTTTTAAACATATCTTGAAAAAAAAATTATTTTGACAAGATTTTGTTTTTTAATGCTTTGGTACAACATTAATTTTTTAAAAATTAAGAAACGTGAAGAAAATTATATGTTTAGCTTGTAGAATATATTGTTTTTAATAAAAATTTTTTTTTTAATGTGTTACTTTAAGTAGTATTTGCTCAAAGTGTACCTACAAAATGGTAAAAACAGAAAGACCAATAAAATCTTGGATAAGTATTGTTTAATTTATTTTCATTAAGCAAAGGAAAACCGTTTTAGGTGATTATATATCAATAAATTTTTATAATTACTGAGGCTCCCAAAAGTGTTTGTTCATTTATAACTTTTATTGAAATCGGAAATAAAAATTCATTAATTAAAATGGGTATTTGATAATAAGATGTATAATCTATTCTAAGCAAAACTGCATGGAATATTTTAAAAACAAAGCAAAAGTTAATTTTTAAGATATCGATAATCAAATAGTAACAAAAATTTTACCCCACGAAAGTCATCGTACAGTTAAATGCCTTCGAGTTTCAGAATTAAAATTATCATCCACTGCTTTTACTTTTTTATTTAATTATTTTTCATTTAATTTATTTATTCATTTACAATTTAGTATCAAACTGGTGATAGGAAAATCATATATTTCAATTTCTGCTCGCTAACTCTGTAATATTTTATCATTTAAAAACGGCCCGTGGTCCTAATAAAACAATAGACCAAATTTGATTATTTGTCATCATAAGAGGTAAATCAGTAATGAATATGTTAAATTAGTTTATTGTGTCCTATTGCACTGTGCAATACGTGATAAAATGCTTAAAAGGAGGACTTCAGAGATTAAAATTATAAAATTTGTGGAAAAATTCTTAAATTCGCAATAGAGTGTTGTAAAAATTTCTGTAAAATTTTTAAAAAAATATTCTGCACAAATTTTTCCCGACAAAAAAATAAAAAATAAATAAACTAGTTACATGTAATTACAAACTTTTAAAAGCCATTGTAGATGCGAAAGGAAACTCTACTAAATGTTAATTTAACGAAAAATTAGAATATTTACTAATAGNTTTTTTTTTTTTTTTTTTTTTTTTTTTTTTTTTTTTTGAAAGTGTAGGAGGACTTTTGTGGGACAAAGTTTTTGTCACTTTTTGAAGATTATTTCAATATAAAGCTGTACTGTACTGCATTATACTGTATTTTATCTTACCAGTGCTTTTTGTAAAATTCATTGATTATATTTTCTTCATACCAATATCTCAAGACAAATTTTTAAATAATGTTGTTTTGAATTAGCATTATTACTTTCAGAGATTCAGAATATAAAAATAAATGTTACAAATGTAAAATCGTCTAATTTTTGTTTCCATACTGCAGAGAAAAAAAAAAATTTATAAAATTCCTTAAATTTTATATATTTTTGTTTTTTTTTTCCTTATTTGAAATTAAAACATTTAAAGAATTCCAATCTAAACACACATTTTTTTAGTTTATCATAGTCAATTGTTTTTGTTTTAACTACAAAAATCTTGTACAGCTCAGAACTAAAACCCTAAAGTTTCGTTTTCCTTCTTCCGACTAAACACATACGAATAAAAAAAATTATATTGTATGTTTATACATCATTTAATATGTTTCCTACATATTTCATAGTTTTTGTCAGCTTTTTAGGGAAAAAGGAGGAATAGTTTTGGAAATATCATCTCTGGAATGCAAGCAACATTTAAGAACTTTCAATATTCTGATAACTACACAATTCGAATTTTGAATTAAAAAGTCAAATATTTATTAACAAGCAGTAAAATTAAATATTAATATATAGTTAGTTCTAAAAAAATATTTTTTTAAAATTAAAATATGATATAAAAAGTAAAAATGAAATAGAAAAAATTAGCATTGATGCAACAATTGTAACAATTCATCGACAAACATTGCTGTTAGCGATTGTAAAAAAATGTGTGATTGGTTGGTTTGCTGAGAAAAAATAATTTACAGATTTCATTGAATGGGAGTACAAAAGCTTTCAGAAAAAGAGTGCAATATAAAATATATTACTATTAAATTATAACCAACTAATTTTTGGAGATTCTTATAAAGTTAAAAATACAAAAACATTTTGACTCATTTTGTCAAAATGGGAAAAAATTACCACCAAAGCATCGGAACAAACTTGAGCCATAAATAGCTCAAGTTTGCCCACGGACAGAATCTAAAAACAGAAGCAAATAACCTAACCCCTTCTACCACGCCCACCACAATCTTTGCGTCTCCTAAATAGTGGAGTCCCATAGTCTCCATAGAGATCAAAGGTTTCTACTTTTGTTTCGCAACCATGGGAGAATTTTATGGGGCATTCTAGTTTAACAGGGTTATAATGGAGCAAACATTGATACAAGCAAAGTATAGCTAAGTTGATAACATTTTAACTGTTTGGAGATACATTTCCGTCTAAAAAGTGTGGGTATAATGGATGAAATAATTTAAATTAAGAAAATTAGTAAATAAATTATATTAGTGAAATTAAAAAAATATCCAAGAAAAAATTTCCAGCTTTTCTTTAAAATTCCCTGATTTTTCCAGGATTTTTCCAGTATAAAAAAAATTCCCTGATAATTCCATGTTTTCAAGGTTTTCCAGGTGGGTGGCCACCCTGTTTTACTTCATAAAGGAAAAGTCTTTCTGCAAGAACTCTGTATCGCTCTGCGATAATGTCATCGTGTCGCCAAGATTCTGCCAAAGGGATTCAGGCCATATAAATCTTAGATAAAATAAGACTTAATGCTCTATATTGTAAGTAAAAGTTTAAATGTAGTTGTGACATTAAGTCACAATCTAATTTTAAAAAAAAAATCCTTTTTTTAAAATCTAGATCCAATGTAAGTAAATCCTGATCCAATTCAAGTCTCGCCCCTTTATCTTTAATGCAATTGGGACACTCTCCCCCAGTGATTCCTTTCGCATTCTAGCCGTACCCTTTTTCCAGGAATAACACCTGGCTCGCGGTATCTTTCATCTCCATGTGAAAGCGGTGAGTGAGAAAATATTCTTAACCGCAACACTTGCAAAATAATAAATATATCACCTCAACTTGTAAATTTTAGGTAATTTAACTTTAGTTTTCAGTAAGTAAGTAATTCAACTTCTACTATCCAGCATTTTAGTATAAATATCTGAGCGCATAACGCTCATCAGCATTCGATACTTGGTCATCCTCTCAACTCTCCGCCTAATGGAGTTATATTTTTTTTATTTCCTCTCCTCGCTGAGGTGGGAAATTTTTTTGAGATGGCGTACCATCTGCCGCCATGTTTGCTGATTGATTCTTTCTGGCGAAGATGATTTTTTTCTACAACGTTTTAGTTTTCATTCAAGTCCTACACTCTTTGTTTTATATAAGAATTTACTGCTACCCGAATAGAATAGTTTTTGGATTTTATTATTGCAATATTAGAAAATTTTGCTGACTAATTTTCAACAACCATGTGCACGTTTTGAATGAGGTAAAGCTGTTGCATCTCTCTTGAGCTTATCTGCTGACCAAATGCTGTCATAGTTAGAGCTACGAATCATGATTTTTCTCTTCGGTGAAGTACAGTACCCATAACCCTGATCTGATGTCTCTGGCAAAGATCTAATTCCCATCCACTCCTGTGTTTGGTTCAGTCTGAGTAGAAAACAAGAAAATTTCCCAGTCACTCCTAACTACCACACTCTCCATCAGAGGTACTGCATGTGATTTTTTTGATGTCGCCATTGAGTTGATATGAAATAAAATGAACAGTATTCATCCTAACAAGTAACTCTTTTTTCAGTGAACTCTTAGTTTTCTTTAGATTTAGAAATGTGACCTCTCTCCATCAGCTACATAAGAGGTATGTGTTTTTTTTGATTCAGTGTTGGGTTAATTAACGTCTATTAATATGTACTTCCACTGTTAGATCATGTGCCATATCTACAGTTTAATTTTGTTAGGCTGTTCTTTACAATTCATTTTTAGTTCTTGCTAAATTTAAAATTCGTTTTAATTTATATTCATTATACCCAAATAGAAACGGTACAGTAGTTTTTCCTAAATACTGTGACAAAAAATTTGAATCAATAATCAAAACTTTTACTGCATGTACGAATATATTAATCTTTTTCACAAAATTTTTATGAAACTAATAGTCTACTTATTTAAGTAAACAAGCATTTAAAGTGGTTATAAACAATCATTGTTAACAAGTATTTAAATGACAGCAAAAGTAAAATCTTAAATTTGTAAATATGTTATCATTACAAATTTCAATGATAAAAAAAAATAATTAAATATACACACTTTTTGTTACTTTAATGTTAAGATATAATTCTGTCAATTTCCTCATCACGTCTAGTTTTTACATGGAATAATCTATGAAAAATGGTTTGAGGAGGGTGAGAAATCAAGCAGATTCTTTCTTTAGCTGATTTTAAGGTTAACTGATAAAAAAAAAAACCAAATTGTCTTAAATATATAATAATGAGAAAATGTCAAGTTGTACTCATTCATAAAAATGTAAAATAAAGTTTAAAGAAACTTTAACTAGAACTTTATACATACATATGTATAAGTTAAAAATATAGAGAAAACATGGAAAATATTAAAGATCAATTTAAAGAGATTAAAAAGTGATTCGCTACTCGCTTTATAGATTTCATTTTGTGTTTTGTTCTGATTTTTCTTTACATTTTATTTTCTGTTTTTTTTTATGTGATATATTTTTTACTTTATGTGTGTTCAATTTTGTTTCAATTTTTTTAGTGCTCCTCAGACTATTGTTTTGATATATTTTGCTCTGGCTATATTGATACAATGTTACAAAGCACTCCTTTTTGCGGACATGATCCTGTGAGCTGATGAAGAGATTATATCTTTTTATTTTTCTGGTTTTTTAATATACATTTTTTAAAATTTTTTATTTAAATATTTTATTTTAACAACTTTTCTTCTACTCTTTTCATTAATCTTTAATATTTTTCATGTTTTCTCTATATTTTTGACTTATTTCATGAATTCTACATATTTCCAGCTTATGTATAGTAAATAAAACTTATTAATTTTCGTTGTTTTTCTCTTTATCCTTTTCGTCTTTATAGTGATATAAATATATATGAAAAAAGTTCTTACTTGTTTTCTAATTCAGTTGTAGCTCGAATTTCTTTGAAATCGCCAGCAATTACTGTTACACCCCAAGCAGTTAGAATAAGACTAAACAAAGTTTGAGCAATTATCTACAAGGAAAATTTATAAAAAAAAGTGTCAGACATGATATATTACTATATCAGAACAATACTAGACAGATTTCTAAAGGCTTTCTCTCCAATACAACAAAAATTCTACATGAACTTAAACTCTAGTTAAAAAATTGAGGCTTAGAGTTAAATATAAATAAAGGATTATCTAATAACAATTTAAAGTTAAGCCAAAAAGCTAAATGAAATTTTTCTGACACAGTACAGTAAAACATACTTAAAAAGAAATGTAGCACTAGTATGTCAGATAGACAAAACTTATATAGTGTTAATGTACTGGTTTTGTAAATTTGATGTTCTCTAAAAGCAACTAAGTTTTATGTTTTTCGAGGAAGATGTTTCCTGTGGAAGAGAAAACAAAAGATGCGCAATTTTCCTAGCAAAATTTTTACCTCGGCCTCCAACTGGGTTCAAAATTGGCTCGATATGAATCCTATAAGAACATGCACTGATGGACCAATATTGGGGTGTGTAGATTTTTTAACATCGGTCCTAGAATGGCCTATATTGGCTAAATAATGGATATAAAATATCAGGTGAATCTGAAAATTCTATACAGGATAGATATTGGTTGTAAAATATCGGGTGAATCAGATAATTCTATATGGCCAATATTGGAGAAAAAAAAAGTACTTTGAACCCTTACTGGGCTAAGATTCATGAATATTGACCCAATGAGGTACCAAGTTATTTTACTGGTAGGGTTATAAATGCGCATAATTCATTTAACCATTTAAAATAAAAAATAGGTATGTAAGAGTACAGTACAAAATTGGAAAAATATTACTTAAGATAGACACTTTCTTATATACACAACTTATTTAAAGTTTTGCTATGATTTCACATGTCTTCTTTAGGTAAACAGGTTTTCTATGTTAAGGTATAAGGCGCCTCAGTGATCTTTTTTCTTTTTAATTAGTTTACAACATTTTATCAGTTAATATTGAGTACTCAATGTTTTATTCGCTTAGCTCAGTATTCGTTAGCTAATTATGGCTTTCCTACTACAATTAAGTCCCGTGGCAACATTGTTGCAGATCATTACAGAGTTCTTGCAGAAAGAATTTTCCTTTGGGAAGTAAAAAAACTGTTTGTTTTTTTTCTATAGAAATTTTCAGAAGATTTTATCTTGTCTTCAAAATTATATTCAAAAGATGCCCTTCTCACGTATAGGTGTGGAAAAAAATGCTTGTGATTTTTCTATCCTCAATTTAGAAAAATAAAGTAAAAAATTTAGCTTTCTGCAGAATTTTCATTCTATTTTTTTCATGCAGTTATTACTATTGATTTCCCTTGTTATTTTTAATACATTATTTCTCATAACAACTGAATCTTGAAATGAAAACATGGATTTAGTAATCACTTTTTGAAGAGTCAGATTCACGTGATTTTGCCGTCTAATCTTTTTTCTGGTAGTTACTGCTACGGATTTCACGTTTTTTTAAAAAAAATATGATGATTTACAAAGCACGAAAAAGGAAATAACTAATGTGTTCCCCCCTACAAAATGCGAAAATATTGCCCATAATATTAGAACAGAAAATTATTACATAATCAATTAAAAAAATTACTTTATTTTATCCAAAATTTTTTATTTTATTTTGAAGTTGGTGCTTCTGTTACTTTAAATTAGTGACATGCATATTTGTTATTATTAAAATTATCTTGCAGAAAGATATTAGTTCAGGAGAGGTACATCGAAGAAAGCCCGAAAAAATTCTGCCACAAGGCAATTAAGTTAAATAAAATTACAAGTAGGAACAATTTAAAGAATATAAAATTCTAAAGGTTTGACATCTTATATTTTAATTACAACTAGTTTGGGAAAAATAAGCTTAAGAAAATCTTTGACCTGAAGAGTTAAATAGCTAATACAATAAAAAATTTAGCTTATTATAAAAATGATCAATGAATGGTTTATTTCATTTTAAGCATTTATTCAATACATAATAACTTATACAACTAGGTACATACAGCCAATACCGTCTTAGACTAATCCGAAACTTTCAATGTAACAAATATTTTCCGAATCCTCAAATGAATCACCATAGAAACAATGAATTAAAAATACCGATATTACGGAATTGGTAATCTGATTTAACGAAGGTGAAAATGAGCAATAATTCTTATTTTCTCTCATGAGCAAAACACTTTTCCATTCGTCAAAAGTACACAATGAATTCAAATATTTTTGCATCTTCAAAATAAAAAGTTTCAGATATGAAAATGACATGTGAAAAAAGACGAATCACTCAGAACCACCCTGAAATGACTAAATCCCAACCAATTCATGCTTGAAGAAGTAAAAATGCATGTGGCTTTTCAAAAGAGTGATTTCCGGTACAGTTGTTTGAAAACGTGCATAATTTGGAGAAGTTGGTAAATTCTACTGGTTCTAAATCATTTGTACAGAAGAAAATTACAGATTACATAATATAATAAATCCATTGTTCCTATATTGTTCCTAATAATAATAAATCCATTGTTCCTTGTAATCTGTTTTTGTAAGCTTTTAAAACATTTATTTGATATTTCCTACACGTAGAGTACAAATAGATCAAAACTGTAATTAAATGCAATATTTATTATTTTTTATGTAAAAAATTTAATTGTAACAAAATAATTTTGGCTCATGTTGAAATTCCAAATGTCGGTATAACAGAATTTTCGTTTTTGCATAGTGATTTCTTCGGTCCCTAGGAATCCGCTAAAATAGGATTTGATTGTATAAGTATTTATTTACTTATACAGATGCACAGCAGCAATTAAACTAAAAATATTATATTTAATTAAACATTTTTATGAAATGTTAAAATTAAATATTTTTTCATTTGATAAACTAAAATATTTATGTGTAAATATTAGAAAATTAAATTATCAAAATTTAATTTAACTATTAAATTTAATTTAATTATATTTTAGATGTTAAAAAAATCCTTTTTCTAAAATTTTCTTTTCTTGGCAACTTATCAATTGAAGTTGTTCACTGTTTGAATTTTGTCAGTTAAAATTATATAAAAATTTGCATGCTAAACAATTTATGTTATTAAATAAAATAATGAATTATTTTTAAAAGTTATATTTTTCTTATTATTATCTTTGGTTAAACAGGGTTGCCACTCAAATCAGTAAAAAAAATTCCCTGTGTTTTCCCTGTATAAATTATACACAATATATTAAGAGGAAACACAATTACTGTGCTGTTGTGTGAGTTACATTGGGCTAACTATACTAGTTTTAATTGCTGGAAAAACTTAAGAGAAAAAAAGGAGCAGCAGTACAAACTTAAATAATGCTCCAGAATAGTAAATTAAATAGTTTAGTATAGCGCAAATATCATTTTTAAATATCCAATAGATTATGCATGGAGTAGTCACCATTTTTTAAAGAAAAAAAAAATCAAAATTCCCTGCCTTTTCCATTTATTTTAGGTGATTTTTCAATTCCCCATATTTTACAGGTTTTCCCTGTGTAGTGGAAGCCCAGTTAAATGAGTTTTATAATCGTGAGAAAATTCTCTTAATATGAGGTAAAATGGTTCAAAAGTTATGTCTAAATTTGTGCACTTTTACATAAAGGGGTTTAAAATTTTCTACTGAACTTTGTACTGAGACCATATTTCCAGATTTAGACACCTAATATGTTAAGGATTAAGAATTAAAATACAGTGGAAAGTCGCGTGTCCGGAATCGGTGGGACTTCTGGAAGTCCGGATATTAGACTTTTCCTTATCCTTTTAAGCTTTGTTTACCTCCCAAGGTAAACAAAGCTTAAAACGATCTAATAAACAATCTGAATCTAAGAAGCAAAAAATAAACATTATTTTTCGGGGAATAATGTTTCAGTATTAGAATATCTAATCAAATAAAAACAAAATATTAGAAAAAAATTAATTATTGCTTAAAATATAGAAAACAATAAAAAATTGAGTTATGAAAATAGTAATTTTTTCTCCGCTATTTTGAACTAGAACGTTTCAAGCAAGAAGGGGAAATTCCCATTGTTCATTAAGATGGGTAGGTGGAGGAGAAAAATTCATTTCCTCCTCCTTTGTCATTCAAGTTGAGGGTGGGAAAGTGACAAATACTTATCTTCTCTCCCATCATTGGCTATCAATCAAGCATAAAGGCGCGGCATGCTGATTGGGGTTTCCTTATTTTTTCTTGTGCGACTGAAAGTGACTCCCCCTTCATGTTAACGTTTGCTGCGTTTACCCTTTTTCACAGTATTTCTTTTTTCCCTAACACTCTAATAAAAAGGTTCCAGGAAATGCCTCTTTTACTAGCCAGCTGCATAGGAAAGAAGGGGGAGGGGACTCAGTTGCTCTCTTTTGAAAATAAATCTCCCTCCTCTCCTGCATTCCAGAGGAGGAGTGTCACTAACGGTCACTCAACGGTCTTGGTAGATCTTCTCTTCCTCTTTTCGTTGTTTTACGGGTTCAATGCATAAATCACTAGAAGCTAGAAAAGGAAAAAATGTGTCAAAAGACCTCTTTTTTTTAAAAATTAAGAGAGTGGAAGATGAAGAGATGTTTGTTTATTTTGATTGTTAAAAAGTGTCCGGGAAATCAACCCTTCCGGAAAAGGGACGTCCGGATATGGGACGTTACACTGTACACCATAAAGCTATGTTTTTTTTATAGAAAAGGTACATCTTGTGTAAGATTTTATAATTAAAATATCCTCAGTGCAAATTAATTATTTTAGATTAGCCACATGATCAATTACGGATGCATCTTAATACCGAAGAAGGAAAAGACTTCTCTCATGCACTTTAGATCTTCGTTTTACACCACGTTTAGAGCATTTACTAGTCTCTGCATTGGGAAAACCGCTATTCAAGCAAATGTTCTAACGAAACTCTAGTACCTTCCCTTTATATCGAGGACCCGCAAGCCATAACACTACTTACGTACACCGGGAAGGCAGAATTCTGCCCCATAGCCGGCACACTGATTTTAGTCACCCTTCTAGGACAGGACGTCTGTTGGGCAAGACGAGGACATAACCAATTACGCCCAACTGTACAGTAGTGTAGATATATGATATTGAGGCACATGGGGTACATCGTGTCCAAAAAGAAGAAAATAGATTTTTAAATAAAATAATACGAAATCATCAGCTAGCCATAATATTTAAAGTGGAATTTAATATTTAAGGAAAGTTACATAACAATTAGTTAATTAGTAATAAACATTAAAATGATAAAGTACGGCACATCCACAGCGGCATTCACTAAACCATATGTATTGCAGACTACGAGGGAAGAAGAGTTTTTTCTCCCTGCATTCCAGGGTTGCCTCAGTCAAGTCCTCCGCCAATTGGCGGTCTTATCATAAGAGCTACTGCCCATTTGGCGGTGCCGCCGCAATATGATAGTTACACATAAGAAAAAACTTACATCAACAGGAAGATAATCAAATCCCAGCTCAATGAGACGCAAATAGGAGCGATCTGAAAAACGAAAAAGTTGTTTCAAGAACAAAAATTGTATACATATTAATCTTAGAAAATTAAGAATTCGTAACTTTTTGCAATACAGGCAATGAATTAAAAATGTGTATAATCAGGGATGAGTTTGGTAAAAAGCCGAAAATTGTTTGAATTTTTATCTCTATGTGAGATTGTTAAATCACATGAATACGGGAAATCACATGAATTCCAATGGGAGATTTTCTAAATCGCTTGAACACAAATCGAGATATGTAATTTTAAATCGTGTGGATACGACTCGAGATGAATAATTTTAAACTGTGGGAATATCATTGGAGATATGTAATTTTAAATTGCATGAATATGAATCGAGACGTGAAATTTTAAATCACGTGGATAAGACTTTGTATAATTTTAAATCATGTGAATACAAAATGCGATATGTAATTCAAAATTGCATGAATACGAACAAGATGCGCAATTTTAAATTTCATGGATACGACTCAAGATGTATAATTTTAAATCGTGTGAATACGAATAGAGATTAATAGTTTTAAATCAAGTGAATACGAATGCGATGTATAATTTTAAATTGCATAAAAATTTGATTGCGATATGATTTTTCAACCCAGTAAATGCAATTTTGAATCGCATTTGCATAGGTACGAAAATACGTAAAAAAATTATTATTTTTTAGAAGTTCGAAGAAAAGCGAAAATTTCTTAGAAAAAGCGGAATTTGTTTTTTTAAACATTGAATTTTTTAAAAAAAGAAGAGAATTGTCCCAAAAAAATTCATCCTTGTATAATTCAAAGTTTTCTTTATTTATTTCAAAAAATACTTTAGACTGTTATTTTCTAATTAAAATGTAAAAAAAGTAATAAAAATTAAAGTTAGTTATCTTAGCAAACACTAAAAGTTTAAAGGTTTGCTATAGAAACACAAGACATCAGTAGTGTCACATTTACACATAATGTAATAATGTTTCTAATTTTACCAAAGCCTTTAATTTTTTCTTTAAACGTTATTCCTCTTTTTTTATTTTAGCAATCTTTTTAACTTTCTTGTTGACCTTTCTCATGGTCGTTGCGGTCATCGCACTTCCTGTGGGGAAAGTCAACCAACCCCTCTATTCACGCCTTTCTTTTTCTTCTTTTAATTTTAGGGGGGCTAACTAACCAATCTCCTCTAAATTTCAAACTCTCTGCCTCTTTAAATTTAGTTGGCCGTAATTTTTCTGGTCCTATACCAGTTAAGGAATTTTTAAGTCACTTTTAAGAGGATTCTCTTTTTGTGCTTCTTTCTTGCAGGTTATCTCTTTTTTAATTCTCTGCGATGCGGACTTCGGTCCGTATCGAGGGGATCGTTTTTTTACATTCTTTTTCTTAACCTTTTTTTCTTCAAAAATTTAAATCCTTGATTGTAGTCAATTTCTATGAATCATACATCTACATTTTATCTCTTTTTTAAACATTAAAGATCCTCTTAAATTAAGCTTTCTTTCTATAAATGTCTTTTCAATAGTCAAGTTTTTTTGTCAGCTTTCCTTTTTTTATGCATGACGCCTTCTTTGTTTTAATTCTCTCGTCACCCATTTCCTTTTTTTTAAAAGATTTTTGTGTCACAAAGATTTGTTGGAACTTATTGTTTGTTTTTACGAAATAAGGTGTTTTACAATAATAATGTCTTACGAAATGATTACGAAAATAAATGTTCAGCTGAATGGAAAAATTGGTGTGATTTTCTTTAGTCTATATGTTCTCATTGTTGTTACCCCCTTTTCTTCCAGTGTGTGGCGAGTACTTCTTTTATTTGTTAAGGGAATTTGTAATTTTCTTATTCGAAATATATATTTAATATGTTTGTATTTGGATATAGCATGTCATTATCGTATTTATCCTTAATTATTAATTTATCTCAGTTTCACCACTATTCTAAATTTGGTGATACTAATTTATCCAAACCTCACTCTTTGTGACCCTTTGAACCTATTGGGTTATTGTTATCCCACGATAGCATTGTACTTCCACGTTCATTAACGATCACGTTCCCCTTAATTATTTACCTCTTACATATTTCGGCCTTAATTTAATTATTATGAAATTCAATCTTAACTATTTATTATCATGACTATATCCAGTAATAAATCCAATTATGTAACCCATCTATCCATCCATTTTAATAATAATACATGAATAACTTATCTAATTCGCACCATTAATTATTATTATTAAACTGTTACAAGTAGTTTATTACAAATAACTAGAGCAATCAGATTTAAATTAATTTTTAACGGTCTCCTATATGGGACACAGGACATAACTATTAATCCAGGGCTTCCAACTATCTACACTTTTTGAGAAAATTTCTTCTAGTGGTAACTAAATTTATATTTTTTATTCTTCATTTTGTAAATTTGATTTCAAATTATTTTAATCACCACTACATGTAAATAATTCAAGTTTATATGAAACCCACTTTGTTCCAGGGGCCCTATTACCAACTCACCGAAATTTATTCCGCTCGGAAGCTAGCTTTCATTGGATTGCCAATTTCGCAAAACACACTTTTCCGTAACATGAGCATATCGGAATCCGGAATCGAAATCGCCATTCCATACGAATCCGGTGAAATTGAAGTTTGTAGACAGGACTAACCTTGATCAATTAGAAAATTACTATACCGTATTTTTTGGCAAAAGCGCCGCTGCGCTATCGAAAAAAAAGTTTTTTTTTTTCTCCTACATGCGGCGCTTCTGACGAAATAATTTTTAGTAGCAAAAAAAAAATTATTTAAGATGAAATAATTTTCTGAGAGAAAGACTATTAAAAAAAATTAATAACGAAGTTGATGAAATATTAGCCAGAACAACTGCCAATTCTTAGCAAACTTTCGGCATCAGCCTGCAGGAAAATAAATAATTGAAATAATAATTTTAAAAAAACATCGCATAAGGAGACTAATTTAAAAGGTATGCATCTTGTATCCACCCCCATCTTAAAGAAAGATCACAAGCTAGAAATCAACTTAGCGCCTTGGAAATTTTAACTGGAGCGAAAAGATAAGGAAGTAATAGGACCCCAAATCCGGCACTTACGGGTTCGACAAAATTCCAATATGGCGCCCATATATTACTGGTAATTCAATTATACTGCTAATTTCAGAAAAACCAATAAATTTAGTTAAGTTTCTATTGTAGATTATGATGAATTTAATGAATTATGGTGAATTTAAAACTGGCCCATCTTCAGAAATTTTATGAATTAAAATAATAATCTACATAATAAAATCAAGAAGAAATAATCCGAAAGAGAAATAATTCAAGAAGAAATAATCCGTGTCCTCGGAAGAAGAAATAATCGTTTCTTCTTCGGAGCGAGATCATAGTTCTCATTTTTTCTTTTAGATAACATTTTGTTTTAACAAAAGACGCACACCCGACAATAAAGAAAAAAAAAAGCTAACAAGAAACTACAAAAAAAGTAGCAATTAATGTTAAAAAACTAATAATGAATAACTACAAAAAGAAAGCTAATAACTAATAACGATAAAAAAAACTAACTATTAACCCAAAAAAAATTAACGGTTAATAACTAATAAAAAAGGCCGCAAAATAAAAATAAATCGAATAAAAAAAGCAAACGGGATGGAATTCATTTTGTACCTAAAGTGGTATAGTTTCAATGTCAACTGGGTGTGGCCAATTTATAGTTAAAAAAAAAAAAAGTCGAAATTAGAGGAAAAAAATGGAAAAATCTGAAAAAAAGAGGAAATCCGCGGAATAATCACATCACTGCTTATTAAAATTTAGTCCTTTCATAATCTGCGGCTGAATAATCGCAATGTGTTGGCAACTTCCGGGCAGCATGAAACTTTAAAAAAAAAAAAAAAAAAAAACATCACAGAAAGGGACCAACTCGAAAGGTATAATTCGTCCGGCAAGCATCTACACATTTCGTTAAAAAATTTGCAAGATTAAAATCTACTTGGCACCTTGGCGATTACAGATCACAACACGGAAATATCCCCAATTTAGTTAAAGTACTAAATACATTAATAAGAGTATACAGAAAATTGAAACTTTCATAAAGAAAAGAAAATTATTGAATTATAATGGAATAATTTTTTTTTACGAATGCAGATTCATTATTTTAAGATTGCTATTTTGTTGTACTTTTGTTCCAGATACATTAATGATGACTTTATGCAACTAATTGAACTTCTTTTTCCTTTGATAAGTACAGTGGAGCATCAGTTATACGACACCGAAGGGACCACCGAAAAATGTCNGCAGGTCAAAGCTGTGATAAAAGGATGAAGAGCACCGTAGTTAAAGACATTCGCTGCAAGTGTAAGTGATTTGTTTTGTGAAACATGCTTTCAAGAAATCATTTAGACGACTTTACTCGAGGAAGAATGATTGGGAAGCTTGAGGAGGGGCGAAGTGTGACCAGTGTCGCCGAAGAGTTCGGGATCAACAAAAGTGTTGTTTCTCGTGCTTGGAATGCCTTTAAAACTACTGGTACAGCTGTTCGGAAGGTTGGTGGTGGCCGTCCAAGGAAAACAACACCAAGAGATTACCGTTACATTGTTCTCCAGGCAAAAAGAAACCGTTTTCAGTCAGCGAGCGCCATATCTCAGCAACTGTGCACAGCCACAGGACGACAAGTATCAAGATTTACAGTGGCCAGAAGCCTCCACAAAAGGTGGCTTATTTGCTAGACGTCCTGTAGATCGTTTTCACAGATGAGAGTCGTTTTAGTGCTACAAGCGATTCTCAACGTCAGTTGATCTGGAGAGAGGTTGCAGCTCGATTTCATCCCAATAACATCGCGGAAAGAGATCGTTACGGTGGTCCTGGAGTTGTCGTCTGGAGTGGCATTATGTTGGCCGGGGGACTGAGAGTCAGATCTTCGACCGAGGTTCTGTATCAGGAGACCGCTACTGCAATGAGGTAATCCTACCCCATGCGTGTGTGTTCCGAGAGGCCATTGAACCAGACTTAATTTTTATGGCTGACAATGCCCGGCCACACCGTATTGCTAATGTTCAAGAGCTACTGGGAAGTGAAGATATCACACGAATGGATTGGCCAGCTTACTCTCCAGATCTAAGTCCCATAGAGCATGTGTGAGATGCATTAGGGAGACGTCTTGCGACACGACAGTATCCACCTGGTAACACCCATCAGCTGAAAGATGCGTTAAAGGAGGAATGGAGACATTTACCCCAAGAACTCCTGGATAATCTAGCATGGAGAGACGATGCCCAGCAACAATTACAGTATGGGGAAGGCATATCCCATACTAGGGAACATCTGCCAGCTGTACTTACGCTTCTTCAGGCAATCATGTGTAACGCCACTATAAGTCAAATAAAGCCTTTTTCTGTTGCATACCCTACTTTAAGCTTTATATTCATTTCTGCGCCATTATTCTTTTACCATCGTTTAAGTACAAAATAATGTACCTCATATTCAAATTTCATGTCAATCGGATGATTTCTTGTAGAGTTATGACAAAAAACGCACTTGTTGCTTAAGTTTTGCACACCAGTGTAGTAATATCAGGGTTGGGTTTTTGACGTCAAAAGTGGTTTTTGATATGACAAGGGTATAATACTGGTTTAAACCGTCAAGAAAATATATAGAAGGAATAGAATATATATTGCCAAGAAAATATATAAACTTCAAAACTACCAACAGATGCCATGCATTATATTGAAATTTAATTATACTATGGTAATCAGCAGGTTTTAAAATATTTTTTAATAAAAGATTTAAAATCTCAGAAATTTATATTCAAATGCATGTGCAGAAAAATTTTGCACAAAATTTTTTTAAATATATATATTTTTAAAAAAAAATTTTTTTTGTTGATACATATAACTAATATTTATAAGGAACTTACAAGTTATGTTGTATAAATACAAACTTGATACAAGATACAAGTGTATAAAAAATTTTTTTTAATGTTATACCGAATATCTTTATTATCCAGTATGTTAATTTGAATTTAAAAGTAGTTATATTTGTGAATAATGATAAATATAATTCATATTGTTTATTATATTTATTTATAATTATTACACTTATCATTTTAAAACAATTTTTATCTCTTAATTTTTTTTTCTCCACTTGTATTAAGAATACAAATAATGCATATCTTGAAAGCAAGAAGTAATTATTCAACAGCTGAATATTTAGATATTCAACAAAACTATATAGTATTCAGCAAAATGAAATTCACAAGTATTTGGATAAACTAAATTTTCAGCATAGTAAATGAATAGGCTGAATATACTGTAAATCGACACTAACTACTCTGTGTATTTAACAGAAAGCACTTAAATTTGTATTGTCTTATGTTAAAAAGATTATTAAGAAGATTTAAAAGAATATTAAAAAGATTTTTCTTTAAAAGATGTCTAATGTACAAAACTGCTAATGTTTATCTTTAAAAATGTCTAATTTTTAGTATAATCTATACTATACACTAAATTTGGTTATAAATAAATTTCTTAATAATATCACTGCAGATTTTCAATAACACATGAAAATGAATACGTAATATTACAAAAGATGTGAGCTCTCAAAAGTACAAGATTTTGGTTACTATTCAAAATATAAGTGTTTCTTCAAAATTTTAAATTTATTTTTTCTAGAACATATTTAGAAACACTATCCTATATAAAAAAATGTATAAATTTTATGTATTAATTAAATTTCACATATAAATATAGGTTTTTGACATTTTCAACATTTTTCACAGTGAGGTTTTTGACGTGACGGTTTAAACCATGGTTTAAACCGTCAAAAACTGTCACATGCCAAAAACCTGCCAACCCTGAGTAATATATATTGAATTGTAAGTTCTACATATTTTTAGTTCCTTTTAATTTCAAAATACAAACTTTCAGAGCCATCGATCAATTAGTTTCAGAGTTATCAAATTTTAAAAAAGTCAGTTAGCTTAAAATTTCATTTATCTCGAATTATTCAACTGATTTCATTAAAATTTTGTATTTCGCAATTTAAAATTACATTCCATAAAATTATATAAAATTTTGTATATCTTGCTACTTTATTTTATTTAATCCGTCGTTGAACAACCGACCCAATTTTCGAGTTTACGACTGCTAATGTTCAACTTCGTAGCCTTGTAATTTTGAACCAATCCAGAAGACAAGGAAACTCCTGGATAAGTACCCCTAGAGGTATTGATTTGTTATGGGAACATGGAGGACTTTGCGACTCGACAGATTTAACGTGCATCAGTCGCCATTTACTACACGGGGATTTCAAAAATCAGGATTCAGAATTTTTCCAGCGCATATTGTAAATATAAATATAAAAAATATTAAATATTTTATAACTATTTAAAACTATATTTTTTGCACGGCATTACCTTCGGAAAAACGAATTTTTGCAATTGTATGAAATTTTTTTCGTATGAAATTTGACCCCTAAAATATAGTAGTTTCAATCTAGAAATATTGTTTTATTAGTTTTTTCAGGAACGCGCTTGAAAGTTAGGACCCTTTAATATTCATTTTAGTTTTTGCGTATTTCACTATATCCCAATTTTTTTCAAGCGAATTCAAAAAGTTTTGCATACAATTCCAATCAGATCATTCAATTCCTATTCATTTCTCTAAAGATAATTTCATGCGAAATGAAATTTTTAGTAAACATTTATTATTACTTTATTTAAGTCGAGTAACTTAAGAAATGTAAGGTGCACAATTTTTTCATCATTTGCAATTTTAAATGCCAAAATACAAAATTTAAGCAAAATCGGTCAAATAAGTCCTGAGAAATAAAAATAAAAACTCATATTTTTCGAAATTTGGTCCCCTAACTTCTTAATTTTTAGTGTCCATTTTTTGTGACCCAAAATTCATAACTATGAAAGCAAAAGCAAATTTAAATCGTAGAGGAAAGAATGTTTCGCATTGACATGTGGTAAACAATAATCAATTAACTGTGTGAAAGGTTATTCATTGCAGGCGTATGTCAATATGCAAAAAGCTTCTGCAGGGCGAAACAGAAATCTTGGTAGAAAGTGTGCTTTCAGCTTTGCAGAGAAACGAATACATAGGCAGACAAACAACAGCCATGTATGGCAATTTTTTTTAAAAATGTAAATTAGTTAATATTCGCTTCTCCGAGGCAAATTTAAAATTTGTAGATTGAAAAATAATTACAAGTTTAAGCTATATTGTTTGAATCTTATATTTTAAGCCGATGGACGTACTATTTTTCTCAAATGGAGAAATTAGCATTTTGCCGGACATAGATGTTCACTTTAAAAGCATCTTTGAAAAGAAAAGGGAATCGCAAGGAGAAATTTTAAAAGTCTCTTTGTATTTATTTACAATATATATTAACATCGAATCCCCTGATTAAAATAGCCCTTTTTTTGTCCATAAAATTATACTATGTAACAATTAAAAAAAAAAATTCGAATTTTACAATTTTATGGGCATAACCATTTCGAAGTTCGTTCAAAACGGGACATGATATCTTTAGATGGAATACGTGGATGCAAAAAATGTACTTAAAACTTTATTTGCAAAACATTTAAATGATTCAAAAGCCAATCGATGCA